AATGAGGTATGCAGCTAGTACCAATAGCTCAAAATAATATCAGGGCAAAAGAGAGTGTGTGTGTTTCAGAAAATTGTTACATTTAAAGTTTAAGCTTACTGAGTAAAAGTTCTATTAATGATTGGCACCACCCATTTTGTGGCACTTGTTTTATCTAGGTACACTATACTTTGCCATCTCATGAAACTGCGAAGTTCTATAGCAATAGTTGCCCTTTATTTTGCAAGATAAGGTCTACCCAGGGCCCTTATCTCTCACCTTCATGAATGCTCTCTGTTTTATTTCTGTCTTTTTGTGTTTTTCTTGTTCATGTCTTATTCTTATTTGAAAGCTAGTAATGATAAACTAAATGACTGTAATGTTAATTTGTACAACCTCAACTCAATGTCTGAGGTTTTCCTAAGAGTGTGTGCAATCTATTATTATTTTTTATAACAAAAAAGTGAAATTGTTATTTGCAATTATTATAATTTATTTGCTATACATATGTACATCTATGAAATTTTTAATGTGATTAATTGTGTAGCCAACATTGTTTGTAGTGTATACTTGTGAAACAATGCACGTTTTATATAGTCACCTGTTCTGTTGATTAACTGCTGACAGACAGACATACATGTACATGTTGGGCCTCTATTCTGTGGTTAGAGGTACCCAATTTAATAATTAGCACTTTTAATATTTTTTGTCTATTTTCTACTGCATTCATGTAATTTTGATCAGTCTACAATTATGTTTATGAGCTTTTCTGAGACCTTTTGTCAATGGCTACACCAAGACATATATGTACATGTAATATGTAGTTTTGTATGTTGTGTTAATACTACATCACATTTTTCAAAATGACAACACGTACAGTAATTCTTCTGAAGACATGACACTAATTTAATATTAATAGGCCATAAATTGGGTTTGTTTTTACACTTTTAACACTTTTGTCTCCTCTTTCTTACTCACATTACAGATGCAGAGATAGCCGTTACAGTTGATGGTACATTAAAGGTATGATTGATTCACACTATTATTGAGATAAAGGAGTTGACTGATCTATTTAGGTCTTCCAGTCAATTCTCATTGACTTAATTGCAGACTTCTTACTAGCTCTTGTTGTTCACAGAGACTCGTGGCAGGTAATGATGATATATTGTGTAGCTACATGTAACATGTATGTCGTACATAGTAGATGCATGTAGATTGGAATAGATAATTTGGGCAAGTTGCTTTTTAAAAATGAAGGTTCGGAAATTAATAATTTTTTACAAATGTTTTACCATGCCAACGTCTTAAGTTAAGGTTTGGTTTATTGGTAAAATTTTTTTGCCTAAATTTCTACTTGCTAACTGGCTTGGGGCAAAGTACATGTACTCTAAGAAGTATTTAAGTACATTACAAGTACCTGTTAAAATTTTAAAATGAGTACAAGTACAAGTCCCTCATTTTTGCAAATCGTATTGAGTATGAGTACGAGT